CTGAGCTGTTGAGCACAGCTCAGATGGGGGAATTAGCCTGCTCACAAGAAGCAGCCGCATCAGTTTTTGGTGTCTTGTCCAGTTATTGTCATTGTTATGGGAGGTGTTCATGTCATGGTCTAGTGGACAGAGGTCCTACAATGTCCACAGATGCAGAGCAGTTTTCAAAAACACTGTCTTTGGGGGTCTGATTGCCCTCGGCTGTGTCATTGGTTGCAGCTAATGGTCTTTCCAGCCCATATATATGTTGGCTATTTGGAGTTGGATACCCACCCAGGGGTGAAAGTAAGCCGGTACGGTCCGGTACTGCGTACCACTAAAAGATTCTGCGCCGGTACGCAGTACCGGGAAGAGGGGGTAGCGGCTATCAATAAAGATGTCATTCAGAACCAGATCGCAGCTGCACTTTCTGTAAGAATACACCTGTTGGCAGTAGGCAGTATAAAACACYATTAATCTGTTTATAAATAGTTTTTTTCTCATCCCAAATTGTTTCTGAACTGTTCCCTGCCAGCTCCTCTTCCCTCGGAGCTCAAGGCTTTAATGAAGCACCAGGCATGGCCCATTCATAATGGCAAAATTTATTCGCCTCACAAAATAGTTCCTGATAAACTCAGTTTGTAATTTGTTGTTTTGATGTGTTTTTCCAACTACTTTTACTTTTCGTGAGTCAAAAGCGAGACAGTGTGTGTGCGTCACACTGTGCGCATTTGCGCTGTTTTTCACCACCATGCATAATGCGCTCATTAAGCTGAAAACATACTCCCTGCGAACTGCCGACGTCGGTACGGGTTGTCGCAGTTTAATGACGAAAATTACGTCACCGAGCTTCGCAGCGTCGTGCCGACAGCCCCTTTTGGCACAACCCCCCGGCAGAACTTTTTTACCCCACTCCCGTGTCGGCGGTAATGTGTGATTGGTCTGAAGTTCGTGGGAGTCTTTGTGCTGCGCTCAGGGGACGACGACTCGCTCCCAGACTAGAAAGCAGTGTTTTATAAGATAGTCAAACCGTGAAAAACCTATGGCTTGTTTGTGCTGCTGCACTCGTAAAGAAAAAAAAAGCCTTACTCGCTCCCAAAGCAGACACCAGGAAGTAGAGTTTTATAAAGATAGTCATACCGTGAAAACATCGTGAATGGAGATTAAACAGACGTTGTGCACGGAGGAATCTGACTGATAAAAACTGTGGAGCTTTAACCAGGACAGATGTGGAAATACGTCGGGTGAGTGACGAGCCTTTTCTTTCTGCAATGATTGTCGGCTGTTGCGGGGGGAAATTCCATGCAGTGATGTTTGGTACAGTGGGAAGGGGGTTTCCCAAGCTCGGCGCAGTGACTTTGAAAAGTCTGTGCGAAAACGACTGCCGATCAACCACGTGACCGCGCGTCGACCCGTCGGCGTTGGAGCGAGWATGTTTCAGGCTTTAGTGTGAGGTGCGCTGATGAGTTTTTCTTCGARAAAATCCTGCATGCGCTGCATCATGAGGCTGTAAAACCAACATGACAGCATGTTCTATTGAATATTTAATCATCATTTAAAAAGAACGAGACGGGTAAAAATTTATCATGGCAGATTTTTTTAAACAAAAAACAGCAAAAAAGGTCAAGCACAACCTCTGTCCGCCTCACCAATATTTATGCTCACGAGCTGCTATTSTAAACGACCYGCCGTCAAAACTTACATTACTTTGTTCAGGGGTGGATTAGCCTACCGAGGATTTCCCGGCTTGCCAACATGTTCTTTACCGCATAGCTGTCAGCTGATCTGCTCACGCGGTCGCGGGTGGACAGGGTTGTTGGAAAAATATGCGTTGTTCAAAATGGTATGTCCGAATAAACAGGATTCAGCTGGGTTTCTTCTTTAAAACTTTATTTTCAATCTCCTGACTCCAATCAGGTTCATTCAGCTCTCAGCAGCACAGGCCTCAGCGTTACAACCTTGGGCCAAATCAAAACAAACACGGGAGCTCTGCTCTGAGCAGACACTCTGCAAAACACTGACAACTTCTTTCCACTATAATAATGAATAGAGCTTTAAAATGTACATCTCTTCCTGGTTACACCCCAGAGGTGTTACCTTTTACGTCAGACGTCAGAACGTCACTCAGTTTTGTTCAGGCTAAGAGAAGAACACATGATAACACACATACACCAACTCTTTGTCAGCTTCAACCTTACAGACTGAAATGATCAGAAAGTATAAAATACAAAACTGAATCTAATATTCAATGAATCGGTTACAAATTTCTTCAGGGTGACGGGAAAAAAAATCATCTCTGTGGCGCTCTGATCACAAATCAGATACAAATCTTTTCTCTCCTAGAACCACACAATCTAAATCTCTGTCTCTGGTATCTAACAGAGAGATGTGCAGTGCTGCGGCTCAAGCTGTCATTCCTCAGTAGAACAAAACCTGTCAATCACCAGGGATGCTGCGAGTGGGGGTGGCCAGGAGGGGCAATGCCCCCACCCCTAGAAAAATAGTGGCCCTACCAGTTTTATCCTCTTGGGTTCCAAGC